TCAACCAGAAGGACATGTTTTCTACTATTGATTTGGTGGCATCATTTCACCAGTTAGAAATTGACGAGGCTGATAGACACATCCTTAGCATCCAGCACAAAGGCCAAACCCTGCGCTACAAAAGGCTTCCGCAGGGCCTGTCCATTAGCTCTCAATATCTATGTTATGCACTGACTTTGGCACTGGGAGAGGATCTATACAAATGTGCTTTAAATTATGTCGACGACACCATTGTGTATTCGACAGGGGGATTTGAGGAGCACATTAAATGTTTGGATAGTGTGCTGCAACGACTCAAAGTTGCCAACTTTGGAATTAACAAGGCTAAATGCAAATTTGGATACCCCAGAATATCCTTCTTGGGATACATGGTTGATGGAAATGGATATAAACCAGACCCCAGAAAATTTAGAGAATTAGAAAAACTGCTTGAAGCCAACAATAGGAAGAAAGCCAAATCAATTTTTCACTACTTCTCACATTACCGGACATTCATTAAAGACTTTCACAAAATAAGTAAGCCCATTTTAAATGCTGCTGATCCTTCAAAACCATTTGAATGGGGCCCAGAACAAAAGGAAGCTGTTGAAATTCTCCACAGAAAGCTTCTCATGGATGTAACTTTAATGCACTTCAATGCAGAACTGGAGACTGTTCTGGCATGTGATGGCTCTCCAGTCTATGGAGTAGGGGCTGTACTGTACCAGAAATGCCCGGTACTTAAGAAATTTCGCCCTGTTGCGGTCTACTCAAGACAATTCCCGAAGAGTCAGAGAAATTCGTCAGCGCATGATGCTGAGTTGTTGGCTTTGTATTATTCATTACAACGGTTTCGCATGGAACTGCATGCAGTAAAGGAGTTTACCATAGAAACCGACTGCAATGGGCTACAGTTTCTTGATAGTTTAAGCCATCCCTCAACAAGGCAAGCCAGGGTGCAAGTATACCTCACTCAGTTTTTTGGCAAATATAAAATTAAGTACAAACCTGGAAATCTACAAACTTGTCCGGATTTCCACAGTCGCAACACAGACGAGGTAGAGTCCTATGACAGCCGCGAGGCAGAACAGGATGCATGGCGCTTGCCAGATGAAGAAGCCCTGCGACCGGAAATCTGTGAAAAAGGGACATTGCAATCAATTTCTTTGCATGGAAACGGGGAAGAGGTAACGATCACAGACAAAGTTTTGGAAGAAAAGTGGAAGAAGAAAGGCCACGTGTTCGCTGTGACCAGGGCAGTAGCCAAGAAGTTAAAGGAAGAGGCCACGGCGAAAGTAGAAAAGTTAAATTTGCCAGGGGTCACCATCCCCATCCAGAAAGAGTGGCGGGAGGAATTGATTGCAGCACAAGATTCTGATAAGGAAATCCAGGAAATCAAGGTAAAGGTTGAAAGAGGAGAGATAGAGGGCTTCTCTATAATTGATGGTATTGTTTACAAGGAGATAATGCTGGATGGCCGAAAAACAATGGTCATTTATGTACCCTCTTCACTTAGGAAGAAAATTTTAGAAAATTGTCATGATTCAATTTTAGGAGGTCATTATGGCGTCCATAAAACATTGACTATGATTGAGAACACTTACTGGTGGCCAGAACTCAAATCGGACACCAAAGCTTACGTTAAATCATGCCAAGAATGTGGTGAGTTCAAACCAAAATTGAGCAAAGATGGTTTGTTACAGCCGATAGTAGCATCGAGGCCCTTTCAGATCATGGGCTGTGACTTCATGGAAATGGGTACCTCGAAACAGGGCTGCAAATGGGGTTTTGTCCTGGTTGATTTATTTTCTGGGTTTGTTTATGCAACGCCCACTAAGAGAAACAGGTGCCGGGATGCAATAAATGCACTAAAGGAACTGATTGGAATTGTAATGATACCAGAGATTTTGATATGTGACAGAGGTCCACATTTTACTGGTAAAGATTTCAGAGAATTTGTGGAGAGAATGGGGGTGAAGGAATTAAATATTGTGCCTCCTAGAATCCACCACAGCAATGGGGCTGCAGAAGCAGCGATTAAGAGAATAAAGGATAATATTAAGTTTTACTGTAAGAATAACACCTCTGAATGGCAGACTTTACTCCCATTTGTGTTGAACACTGTGAATGGATCAGTCCAGTCAAATGGTCGGTCTCCATATGAACTCATGTATGGTGTCAAGGCACAAGCGCCCGGCCATTTGCTCATGAATGTGGAATGCGACTCAGAGGAATTTGAGATAAGAAGAGAATTGCTTAGGGATAAAGCAATGGAAAAGAAACGAAGAGGAAAGGAAGAGCAGAAGGCAATTTTTGATAAGAATAGGAAGAACGTAGAATATGAGGAAGGCGAGGAAGTATTTTATGGCATAGAACCTCTACGAAAGTTTAACTACCCTCCTAAACTTCAGAGAAAATTTAGAAAGGGCAAAATAATTTCTAAGAGTGGACCGGTTACGTACGAGGTTAAACGCCATGATGGAAAGGGAACCGTCACTTCGCATGTTGCCTTGATGAAGAAAAGCTATGCAAGGCCAAGGCATCTTCGTTAGACAGGGAAAAAGCCAAAGTAAGAAGAGAGAGAGAGAGAGAGAGTGGGGGAGAGAAGAATGTTGAAGAGGAAATGAAAATTTTGCGAGATTAAATGAGTTTCAAGGATAAGGCACCGGATCATGTCTGAAAATTATGAATTTTGCCCGAGGCGCAGGCCAAATAAAATTAAATAAAGAAATCAAGCCGGTCTAGGAAAGGACTGAAATCAATGGAAAAATTTTGCTGTTTTGTTAGGAGGCATTGTCAGAGTTGCCCAAGCTGTGCAGGTGGTCTAGAACACCGTAAGCCGGAAGGTAGGACGACATATAAACTTAACCCTGGTTTGGTTTTGGAAGAATATGGAATTACATAATAACGAAGAATACTATTTTTTGGCGAAAAAAAAAAAACAAACGACAGGGACTGCTTGGGTTTGGTCGCAATACCAGAAACTTTTAGACGTGAAACCACACTAGAATTAAGTCCTAGATATAAGAAGAAAAAGGAGAAAACGAAAAAAAAAGGTAACGGAAACAAACTAAGTTAAGCCATGTGGTTAAATTTCAATAGTTCCTTTGGAATAAGTCAGTAGTCGGATTTGCAGCCCGAACTACGCGACCGAAAAATGACGTTGCGACAAAACCAGAAGCGAATTTAGAAGAATAGAACTTTACCCTATAATTTCCTGTTGGCGATACTCCGGCTGACAAAGATGGCGGCTGCACCACAGGACGGCCGCGGCGTCATTCCGCGCTGAGCTGTCCACAGGTTGCTTGCAGCCGGTGGAGTTGGCTGAGTTGAGCGGCCCAGGAGGAAGAAAGCGCCTAACCTATGATTTAGAAAAACAAAACGGGAGTGCCTATCCAATTGAAACATCAAGAAACTCATACATACCCCCTCTCATGGCAGAAATGATGGCTTGCCATGGCACACGGCTGTTGTGATGGTGGAGCCGCGAAGAGCAGTGCCGAGCGAAGCATGGAGCGATGTGATGTGTTGTTGCACAGATAGTAATCCAGAGGTTCTTGTAGTTGAGAAAAATAGAGTTGAGAAGTTGAATGGAAGAAACACTTGCGCGCGCGGCGACGGTCACGCGTGCAACCAGCTCAGGAGGCTGCGGGCGACTGGCGCGGCGGGGCGCGGCGGAGCACAGTGCGAAGATGGAGAATGTGTTGATGCAGCAGTGCTGGCCTGCTCCACAGCCCCAGTGCCCCGCGGATGCAAGATTGCAGTTTTGGGCTGGTCGGTGTACAGACAGCCCAGGAAAGGGAAGATGAGATAAATGTGGTTCAGTGTATTGATAGAATTATTTACTAGGTTGATTTAGTATGAAAATCCCGGGATTAGGTTAAGGTTCATAGAATATAGGGAAGGGAGCGAATAGCATAGGTTCCGCCTCTGGGCCGGCGGCCGAGCTGCCGCCTGGCAGTCCGTCGAGCCTGGGGGACGGACTAGGTTTCATTTTTTTTTTCTCTCTTA